CATTAAAGACTCATGTGATAGAAGAAGAGAGATATGCAAAAAGATAGATTCAGACAAAAAGCTCTAACTGGTTTACAATGTATTTAAAAATATATATACCTATAAATATTTAACACTTGTACTGGTTTAATAAAGTGCTGATTAGCCAGTAACCAACCAGAACAGGAGAATTCTGGGAAGAGGAAAGACTCGGTCTTCAGTTGTCACCCAGACACAGGGGATGAATATAAGATGAGAATGCCTTACTGATAAGAAGTACCAAGCCACGTGACTAACACAGACAAGAATTATGGGTTAATGCATTATGTAAGGATTTTTTAATAAGAAAGCTTCTTCTAATAGCCCAAACAGTTTATTATTAATGTAGGCTTCTGTGTGTTTCTTTGGGACTGAACCTCTTTGGGACTGGATGGGACAGAAACCTCTGCCAACAGCTGGCTGATTCTTTTTCATATATGAAAGTATAGATTTGATTCCTTTAAGATTTCTTATAAAATTAAATTTAAACATAAGTGAAACCATTCTTGGCTCTTTCTTTGTAACTGCACAATGCAGCCTGCCAGTAAAAGACATGACTGAGCAGAATGCCTTGCTTGCCCACAAAATTTATCTAAACTAAAGCAAATTGGAATAAAGTAATATAAAATATAATATAAATTTCAACTGTAATATATAAAATGTTTGATTCTGTAAGGGCTATGAAAAACATGTTGTTTTTAATGCTTGCTTTGCATTCATTGCAATCATTCATTTGAAAAACAGAATGTAGCCACATTGTAATTTCTATATTGCTTGAAAAACTTTTTTGGGATATATATAAGCTGTAAAAAATAAGGATACAGTAGAAAGAACACAGAAGGAACACAGAAAAGAACAGAGAAGAATAGAAAATAAAGAAGGAAATGCTCAAAAGAGAGTGTGTCTTTTTCCCTAAACCCTTCAGAAAGAAAAGCCATAGTACTATGGCTTCCTTTTAAGCCCTCTGCTGCTGGAGGCTGCTCATCCAGAGACTGATATAGATTAAGTCATCCCTCAATTTTTTGGGGGAAACTTCAATTTTCAGTGGATGATAATTAATATGGGTACCCACAGCTTTCAAAGATATAGAGTATAAGAACATTTACAACTCAAATATTAAGGATTAGTTTGAAACTAATGTTAGAAGAACATCTGTGAGAACCAAGATACAAAGATATAGATATCTGATGGAGGAAGGTCATTGGCTAATAAAGGAACTGCCTTGGCCCATTTTATTGGTTTGAGGATAGGTGGGAGGAGTAAACAGAACAGAACGCTGGGAGGAAGAGGAAGTGAGCTCAGAGTCTCGACAGCTCTCCTCTCGGGAGCAGACTCCTGAGAGAGACGCCATGCCCTGCTCCCGGGCAGACACATGCCATGAAGCTCTGACCCAGGATGGACTAGGCTAGAATCTTCCCGGTAGGTAAGTGCACCTAGGGGCACAACACAGATGATTAGAAATGGGCTAAATTAATATTTGAGAATTAGCCTAGAAGAGAATGGGCCAAGCAGTGTTTAAAAGAATACAGTGTCCGTGTAGTTATTTCGGGGCATAAGCTAGCCGGGCAGGCGGCTGGGGTGTTGGGGACGCAGCCCCGCCGCCGCCCTTATTACTTCAGATATCCTCAGTAACAACAGGTCATCTGCACACATGAACTATCAGAGGTTAGGTTAGCAAGTGCAAGCTCCATTCAAGCTCGAGCCAAACTAAATACAAACATGGAGTAGGAGTTAGATGTGCAGGGTACACCTAGCAGAGGTTCTGTCTGTTAGCTAATAGCTGCTGGGAGAGGGAGATGTCTGTTTTCCTTAAGGGTCTTTTTCCTGAAAGGTCCATCAGTTCCAGTGGAAGACCATACTTCTATGAGCACATAGGCTGCAGAAATTGGACTTGATGAGTGAAAATGAAGAGGATACAAAGTTGAGAGAGTAAGATAAAAAGCTCATCTGGCTAGAGGTAGAAAGGCATTATTATAGTCAAAACTCATAAAAAATTCTAAAGAACTAAAAATGAACAAATTGAAGTTGTTACTTTTTCATTTACTATGATATTTCTCTACTTAGCTATGTCATTTTCTTGAATTGCTGCTATATTATGAGAAACATATATGATTGAAATAATATCTGCCAGGCAGTTCTCTTCATAAAGTCTACTTCAAATGAGCTACTTAAATTTTGCCAAAAAATTTGTCTTTACCATGAATATTATGAGAACAACTCAGACTGGATTCAAGAAAAGCTAATAAAGTAGGTCAAATACTAACTCTAGTGTTGAGCTGTTAAAAAAGTGATGGAGCTGTTGCCCCTAAGCAAGTCACATATTTCCCACTTTTCCTAGTGCCATTGAGATGAAAAAGATGTTCCCATGTGAAAAAGGTCTAAATCGTGTATGAGAAGTGACATAAACAATATGTATGTATAATTACATTTTTCTTCACCCTGTCCAGGAATAAATCATTCTTTGATTTCTGGTTTAACATTATGTGATTATTTCTCATATTGTAATAAGTTACCTTGCCTTAAGCTTGGATTATTAAATTAAAAAAAAAAACAAAGTGTGATTTCTTCTGTTCTATTTGGCTTACAAATTCAGGTTACATAAGCACCGCAAAAATAAAGGAGAGAGAAACTTAAAAAGACTGAGGTGGCAGCACTAAGCGCTGTTTAATTTATTTTGAACATTTTCTCTTTACACTTTAGAAGGTATTCTATTATGGGTCTAGGTTAAGAAAAAAGTGCCAACTGGCTGAACTTTGGCAAAATAAAAAATATTGTTCAAAGTATCATATTTCATCCTCCAGATGTTCTTATTTGATTTTTTCCCTCTGTTTAGCATCATGATTTAACAAGTTTTTGAGATTGAGATAAGCCATTTTTTTTCAATAATCAGATCAAAATTCTTGTTTTGTCATTATTATATTTTCTGTCAAGAAAGAGTGAGAAAGAACTTTATAGTTATTTAACATATAATTACATGAATTCTATCAGATGTTTCTGAAGACAATAAAATAAAACATTAAAAGAGATTTACAAACTGGACTTTGGAGAAAGAAACTTCCATTTTAAAACAAATATATTTAAAATTAATTTTCATTTTTTTTTACACATAAATGGCTGGCTGGCACATCTATATATGGTGCAGTGTACCAGGCTTTTTCTATTTATTTATTTATTTATTTAAGATTTCTGCCTCCTCCCCTCCACCGCCTCCCATATCCCTTCCCCTCCGCCAATCAAGTCCCCCTCCCTCACCAGCCCAAAGTGCAGTCCGGGTTCCCTGCCTTGTGCCTAGTCCAAAGACCTCCCACCTCCATCCAGGTCTAGTAAGGTGAGCATCCAAACTGCCTAGGCTCCTACAAAGCCAGTACGTGCAGTAGGATCAAAACCCAGTGTCCTTGTTCTTGACTTCTCAACAGTCCTCATTATCCACTATGTTCAGTGAGTCCAGTTTTATCCCATGCTTTTTCAGACCCAGTCCAGCTGGCCTTGTTGAGTTCCCGATAGATCATCCCCAATGTCTCAGTATGTGGGTGCACCCCTCGCAGTCCTGAGTTCCTTGCTCGTGCTCTCTCTCCTTCTGCTCCTGATTTGGACCTTGGGATTTCAGTCCGGTGTTCCAATTTGGGTCTCTGTCTCTGTCTGCTTTCATTGCCCGATGAAAGTTAATCTCCAGGAGGATGCCTATATGTTTTTCTTTGGGTTCACCTTCTTATTTAGCTTCTCTAGGATCACGAATAATAGGCTCAAAGTCCTTTATTTATGGCTAGAAACCAAATATGAGTGAGTACATCACATGTTCCTCTTTTTGGGTCTGGGATACCTCACTCAGGATAGTGTTTTCTATTTCCATCCATTTGCATGCAAAATTCAAGAAGTCATCATTTTTTACTGCTGAGTAGTACTCTAGCATCTTCAACAAAGTGTGCTGGCATAACTGGATGTCAATCTGTGGAAGAATGAAAATAGATCCATATCTATCACCACGCACAAAACTCAAGTCCAAATAAATTAAAATCCTCAATATCAGTCGGAACACACTGAACCAGATAGAAGAGAAAGTGGGAAGTACTCTACAACATATAGGCATAGGAGACCACTTCCTACGTATAACCCCAGCAGCACAGACATTAAGGGCCTCATTGAATAAATGGAACCTCCTGAAACTGAGAAGCTTCTGTAAAACAAAGGACACTGTCACTAAGACAAAAAGACAACCCACTGACTGGGAGAAGATCTTCACCAACCCTGCAACTGACAAAGGTCTGATTTCCAAATTATATAAAGAACTCATGAAACTAGACTGTAAAAAACTAATCAACCCAATTATAAAATGGGGCACTGAGCTGAACAGAAAATTCTCAACAGAAGAAGTTCAAATGGCCAAAAAACACTTAAGGTCATGTTCAACCTCCTTAACTATCAGGGAAATGCAAATCAAGACAACTTTAAGATACCATCTTACACCTGTCAGAATGGCTAAAATCAAAAACACCAATGATAGCGTTTGCTGGAGAGGTTGTGGAGTAAGGGGCACACTCATCCATTGCTGGTGGGAATCCAAACTTGTGCAACCACTTTGGAAAGCAGTGTGGTGGTTTCTCAGGAAATTTGGGATCAACCTATCCCTAGACCCAGCAATACCACTCTTGGGAATATACCCAAAAGATGTCCTCTCATACAACAAAAGCATATATTCAACTATGTTCATGGCAGCATTGTTTGTAATCGCCAGAACCTGGAAACAACCTAGATCCCCTTCAACGGAAGAATGGATGAAGAAAGTATGGAATACATACATATTAGAGTACTACTCAGCAGTAATTTTCACTTTTAATAAAAGTGAGTTTCTTTTCAACATTCTTCAAATCAGAGCATAGTTTCCTTCAAATGAAAATTTACAATATCAATGGAAAAGATAGGACAAGTGCTTTCAGTGTTAAACAGTGGCAAAGGCTTGTTTAGAATGATCAAAGTATAAGACACACTGTCTCTTCTAAAAATATAGGTCAGTCATAGCAAACAAAATCATAATTGTCCAGGAAATGCTTTACACCAGGCCTCTTTTTTTTTTAACTGCAGGACCTGTCTAGAATCAGCTGTGGCTTTGATAAGGCCAAGTACCAGTATTTTTAATATGGACTGTTATACACTAAAGTGTCTAATACTGTGGGTCTGCCAATATTTAAACCATAACAGAAATTGTGTATAGTGTGAAATTACAAAAGATGGGTTAAATATTAGTGCATTTGTAGTGAAATAACAACTATTGTTTCATGAAGCTATATTTTCCCATTGAATATGCTGTTTCAATATAAAATATATTCCTTAATGTTAATCATATTGGAACTATATGAGACAGAAGCCTAATCTGTGATTCCATTCAATTGGTTGATAATGTCATGTAAAATATTATTTAAACATTAGGCCCATAAAATGGGTTTGAGATGAGATGATTCATTTTATTTTTTTTTAAATTTATTTATTTATTAAGGATTTCTGCCTCGTCCCCACAACCGCTTCTCATTTCCCTCCCCCTCCCCCGATCAAGTCCCCCTCCCTCATCTGCTCGAAGAGCAATCAGGGTTCCCTGACCTGTGGGAAGCCCAAGGACCGCCCACCTCTATCCAGGTCTCGTAAGGTGAGCATTCAAACTGCCTAGGCTCCCACAAAGCCAGTACGTGCAGTAGGATCAAAAACCCACTGCAATTGTTCTTGAATTCTCAGTATTCCTCATTGTCTGCTATGTTCAGCTAGTCCGGATTTATCCCATGCTTTTTCAGACCTAGGCCAGCTGGCCTTGGTGAGATCCCAATAGAACATCCCCATTGTCTTAGTGTGTGGGTGCACCCCTCGTGGTCCTGAGTTCCTTGCTCGTGCTCCGTCTCCTTCTGTTCCTGATTTGGACTTTGAGATTTCTGTCCGGTGCTCCCGTGTGGGTCTCTGTCTCTGTCTCCTTTCATCGCCTGATGAAGGTTAATATTCCTGAGGATGCCTATGTGTTTGTCTTTGGATTCACCTTATTTAGCTTCTCTAGGAACATGAATTATAAGCTCAATGTCCTTTATTTATGGCTAGAATCCAAATATGAGTGAGTACATCCCATGGTCCTCTTTTTGGGTCTGGCTTACCTCATTCAGGATAGTGTTTTCTATTTCCATCCATTTGTATGCAAAATTCAAGAAGTCCTTGTTTTTTACTGCTGAGTAATACTCTAATATGTATATATTCCATACTTTCTTCATCCATTCTTCCGTTGAAGGGCATCTAGGTTGTTTCCAGGTTCTGGCTATTACAAACAATGCTGCCATGAACATAGTTGAGCATATACTTTTGTTGTATGATAGGGCCTCTCTTGGGTATATTCCCAAGAGTGGAATTGCTGGATCCAGGGGTAGGTTGATCCCGAATTTCCTGAGAAACCGAAACACTGCTTTCCAGAGTGGATGCACAAGTTTGCATTCCCACCAGCAATGGGTGAGTGTACCCCTTTCTCCCCAACCTCTCCAGCAAAGGCTATCATTGGTGTTTTTTATTTTAGCCATTCTGACAGGTGTAAGGTGGTATCTTAAAGTTGTCTTGATTTGCATTTCCCTGAACCTGATAGAAGAGAAAGTGGGAAGTACTCTACAGCACATGGGCACAGGAGACCACTTCCTATGTATAACCCCAGCAGCGCAGACACTAAGGGCATCATTGAATAAATGGGACTTCCTGAGGCTGAGAAGCTTCTGTAAAGCAAAGGACACTGTCACTAAGACAAAAAGACAACCCACTGACTGGGAGAAGATCTTCACCAACCCTGCAACTGACAAAGGTTTGATCTCCAAAATATATAAAGAACTCAAGAAACTAGACCGTAAAAGGCTAATCAACCCAATTATAAAATGGGGCACTGATCTGAACAGAGAATTCTCAACAGAAGAACTTCAAATGGCCAAAAGACACTTAAGGTCATGCTCAACTTCCTTAGCGATCAGAGATGATTCATTTTAACTTTTCTACCTTGTTATATTAGTCATGCTAGAAAATTTGCCAAAGTCATCTTTCTGAAGATAATAAGAGTAATATTAGCAAAATTACTGACTACAGAGATGATGGTGTTTCCTCATGTTTTCCTAAACTGTGACTTAGAAACCAGTTGAGAAATTTAAAAAAAAAGAGACCGAGGCTGGAAATTTGGTCTTAAAAGTGCCTTTGCCACGGAGCTTTAAAATAGTGTTCCCTCAGAAAGACTTTCTAGAACTCTACATCTACCCATTTTATGATAGCTTCAGTCTTCACAGGACAAATCCAGATTTAAAAACAATACAGGATCATATATGTTTACTGTTTAAATTTTATTATTTTTAAAAAAATAAGAGCAAAATTGTCTAAATATGTTAACTTTTTATAAACAACACTTAAAACTCTAAAAATTATTTTTCTAAGGTTACATACTAAATTTCAGAAAAATATAAGAAAACACTAAATCCATTTCTGATTCTGGTAAGAATTTTCACTTGATTCCGCCTTCAATTCTCCTTAATAAAATATGTATACTTTGTGTACATATGTGCATGTTTGTGCATATACATGTGCACATGGGGGGCAGTAAAAGGGTCAGTCAAAGAAACCCACTCTGAATCTGAAACCTGAGCCAGAAACAAACAAACAAAAAACCTTTAACCCTGAGACCAGAACCTAAAATACACATTCTGACTGAAATCAGAGGCAAAGAAGCAGACTTTCACTCTGGAACCAGAGGCAGTGAAAGAAATGTGCCCTGCCTGCAAAACTAGAGCTAGAGAGCTAAAACAAAAACAAGAACAAAAAGGCCAGCAAAAGAAACACAATTTGTCCCTGAAACCAAAGTCTACTCTGCCCCAGAATAAATTAATATGAAACCAACAAATCCTTGAGCAGCAGGACACCAACCAAATCTGAGCAGGGAACCAAGCAATCCCTGAACACTGTGAACCCAGAGCCAGTGAAAGAAATGTACCCTACATCTGACAACTGAGCCAGTAAAAGAAATATGCCCTGGCCCCTAAACTAGAGCCGAAGAATTGAAGAAGGCTAGTGAAAGAAGCAGTTTGGCCCTGAAACCAGAGCCAAATTCCTTACCAACTAAACTAAATAATCCCTTGGCAGAAAAACTAACAATCCCTAATCAGAAAAATTTTTCCCTGTGAAGACTCTACCCCCCAAAAGCCCTATATAATCCCCCTAGCCAATTCAGTTGCTGACTGTCCTTTCCCACTCTGGCAAAGACAACCACTTTCCTAGTCTCTTCCTCCCAAATATCTCTTTCTTAAGAGAGTTTTGGATGGGTATCTTCTTTCTTCCATGCAGAAAAGAAGAACCTTTGCTGAGATGTTCACTTAGGGAGTCTGAGCAGAAAAATCAGAAGAAATATCTACATCTACTAGGAAATGCCCTTTGGTGTTGAGCATAAGAAATAACTATTCACGAGAGTTGAAGGAGATTGCTGTCTTTCTGCAGGGGCTTCCTCTTTAGCAGAGTGAATCAGAAGTAACATCTTGGGCCAGAGTAGAGCAAAAGAAGTAATGAATAGCTCTGCTAGGACATTCCCTTAGGGCAACTGAGCAGAGTTCAGCTGTAATGGTTTTCTCTAGGAAAGGAACAGGATTGTTCCACCCTGTAGGGTGACCACTCCCTACTGCACCCCAGATTCAGGTATAGGCTGACATTCCAACAAGACAGGATACCTTATCTAGCTACCAAAGCTGTCCTATTGCAACTCTAGTATAACGTGAGTCACAAACAAGTCAAAACACTTTTTCCTCTAGAGCTGTCCTATTGCAGCTCCAGGTATAGCCCGATTTCCCAACAAGTCAGGATACCTTTTCCAACAGAGTTGTCCTATACTCCAGAGCTGTTTTATTGCAGCTCTAGATAATACCCTGACAAGTCAGGATAGTTTTCCCTCTAGAGGTTTAACACTCACATACAGTGTATATGTATGTATGTATTTGTGATGTGTGTGTGTGTGTGTGTGTATTTGTGGTGTATATGTTTATGTGGTATGGGTTTACATGTGTGTTTGTATGTAATATGTTTGTGTGTAGATGTGTATGTGGTGTTTTTTATGTGTATGCTTTAGGTGTGTGTTGTATATCTGTATATGTGTGTGATTTTCCACTTTTCTAAGGATGAAGTAGCAAAGGAGCTAATTTAGAGCCTTTAGCTTTAATTTTTAGATTCAATCTAAATGTTCTAAATAGAAGAAAAAATAGAGAACAGTCATGTTTGTGTCTGCTCAGTCACACATGTGGACAGATGAGGGCCATCCTAGTGAGAGAAGGCTAATCTTTTACTTCAGATGATGGTATGAAGCATGACTCAAAAATGATGGGCAGTGCTCATCAGAAAACCACCAGCACAGAGTTCATAGCTGATTTCATTACATGAGAACTAGATATGTTACATGGTAACTTTTCAATGAATTTTATAGAGAGTCAAGGTATTGGGGTAGTACTTTCATTGACGACAAAAATTTGACCATTGGAAGATGTGCTCATGGCTGTTTGAGAATACTAAGTAGCAACATTTATTACAAGAGGACTTCAGAAGAGGTGAGTCAGGACAAGCGCTTTCCTATATGTGCACTCTCTAAACTCATCTGTACACAGAAGATTTGGCCTTTGGAGATCTATCAGGAGCATTTATATGTCTCAAGGGAATTAGATGAAGAAAATGGATGGATCTACAGGCCATCATTTCACACAGGAGTGCTTTCCTATTTTTTATATTTTAGAGGTGAGTTGGCTTCTTGGGATAACTATAAGTCATTCTTTGGAATTGTATACCATGCTTAAAAGTGTCAACTCTTAGTTCACATACCTGGAATTTTTCAAAGGCAAATAATATCAAAGGGAGAACCAGCAAGGAGCATAGGAAAGGGCTCCGTAGGTGGTATCAAAACAATATTTGAGAATGCTGAATAGTCTCATAGTTGCATACTTATTTGATAAATAAACATATGTGGAATAAGAATAAAATACCCTATATGTAGTAATCTTAAAGAAAACTAATTTTAGGGACTGAAGCAATTCCTCAACAGTTAAGAGTAAAAGCACACAGTTTCAGAGGACCCATGTTTCAGGCTTAGAAGCCAGT